ACTCCAAACTGAGAAAGCTAAGAAAACGCTGATATTATGTAAGCAAGTTAGATTTTTCAAAGAAAATTAGAATATTCTTAATTGCATAAGTATTCAACCCCTTTGCTACGGCAACCCTAAATCAGTTCAGATGCAAAATATTATTTTGAAAGGTCACAAAATTAGTGTTTGGTCTCTGTCTGTGTGTGATCAAAGTGGTTTAACTAGATTTCAGAGTAAATGCATCTGTTCAAGCCACAATTCACATAGTGATACGACAAACCATACAGGAAGACCAAGGAGCTTTCCAAACAAGTCAGGGATAAAGTGATAGAGAAGTACAGATCAGGAGAATGTTACAAGTCGCTGATTATTAGACAAATACCTTTTCGAGCTCTGTCTGAGATCTCTGTTTTTCGTAACTGAGTTGACCAATTACTATTGGTTAAACTTTCGACGAAATGAGTTGGATGTGTAACTTGATGAAATGCTTTTCACATTACCACAAAACTCGCTTTATCTTTCTTTAGAAAGAAAGTTAAAAATTAATTGTTATATATTTTCTGCAAGTAGCGAAGTGATTTATTACACTAAGTACAAAACATTGTGTTGTATTATAGTTCTGACTTGAAAGTAGAACCAGACATCTCGGCGGTTTATACAGAAAAACATTAGCATTTGAAATTTATCAGGACACATTCCGTATGACCTATTGATTATTACATGACAAAGGAAGGGTAAAGATAATATTTATACAAATAGTCCCCCCAACGGGACAGCGCTAAGTTTACGGACTTACAACACTAAAATACGGGGTTCAGTTCTCCGCAGATAGCTCAGTGTGGCTTTGCTCTAAAACAAACAAACAAATTTTACAAATGTATTTGGTCCAGTTACATGTTTTCACTATACTTCTTCTTTTGTTTCTTTTTGAAATGATAAATGTCCAGATTTTTGTGTGATACCAAAGTGGTAACTGAAGAAACCTAATTACTATTGTTAGTAATTCTTATAGTGGGTGAGTTGAAATGGGGGAAAATGCATTATATGTAATATCTAAATTCTTGTTAGCTTCTGGCATGTGGTACTTTGAACCTGAATGACATCTCATGCAACACATGAGCAAACATTCAGGTTTAGCCATTCATAGTATAGAGCTGCTGACCAGAGTAAGAGAGAGAGAGAGATAGAAACAAGTAGCAGCACCCGCCGCTTACATAGCTACCTTTAATTGAACAGCTACTGTAATTACCACAGTTATAATTCCCTCACAGCTGAAAGTATGGAGTGTATTGAATAGCATATTGCGACTCGGCTCTTGGGCATTATGAACTGCAGCCCATTGTAATATTAGGCCACATCTAACGTAAGGATTCTGGTGAAGCAAATTTAGAACATTTTTTTTTGGCCAGTGAGCGTAATCTTA